GTAATGTTGGTTCATTAATTGATGATTCTGATATCTTTGGACCAATGCCAACTACATCATATAGTACAACAAATACAGTTGGACAACAACAACAACAACAACAATCATCAGCAGTACCGAATTTACTCGATGATGAACTTTCATCAATTCTTGGACCGGATATGAATATTGGTGGTGCTCAAACACCACAACCTCAAATGCCAATAATGAATACAGCAACAACAACGACTTCACTTCCAATGGGTCAACCAGCTAAAAGTGGAAATTTACTTGATGATTTATTTGGTGATCTGAATTTAGGCGGTGGTGGTGGAGGATTATCATATTCAAGTACAAATACTTTTGCATTACCAAAAGAAGTAAGAAAACATAATATTATTCTATTATATCTAAAGTTATATTTTTAAGGTTTGGTTAAGTCCTCAAAAAGGTAAAGGTCTTGAAATAACTGGTACATTTGCTCGTCGTAATAATCAAATTGTAATGGAAATGGATTTTTCAAATAAAGCATTACAACCAATGAGTGATTTTGCATTACAACTTAATCGTAATAGTTTTGGTTTAACACCAGCTCAACCATTACAAGTAACAAGTCCATTATTTCCAAATCAAAATGTTTCAACACAATTAATTTTGAATACAACTGGACAAATATTAAAAATGGATCCATTAACAAATCTTCAAATAGCCGTTAAAAATAGTGTTGATGTTTTCTATTTCGCATGTGTTGTACCCATTCATGTTTATTTTATTCAAGATAATGAAATGGATAAGATGGCATTTGTACAAGCATGGCAAGAGATACCCGAAAGTAATGAAATAAAACATCAATTACAAAATGTTCAGGGTTTATCAATTGATGATTTACAGAATAAATTACGTTTAAATAATATTCATACAGTAACAAGAACAATAATTGAACAAAAAGAAATGCTTTATCAAACAATTAAATTAACGAATGGTATATTTGTTTTAATTGAATTAAAAATTACACCAGGAAATCGAACTATAGCGGTAAAATTTATTGAAAAAAAAGCATTTTTATGAAATAAAAATAATCTTTTTTTTTATTTTAGTTTTCACTTAAAACAAGAGTTCCGGATGTTGGAAGTTTAGTCGTAAATGCATATGAACTTATTCTTAGTAGCAACTAGTCGTTCGTTTATTTTTGCTTTATTATATCGTCATCTTATCTTTTTAAATGATCAAAATACTGTTGTTTTCTTGTTCCTTTATTTGTCTCATTCCTTTTTATGTCTCAGTCAAACTAAATATGATATAAATATATATATATATTCATTTTAAAATACAATATAATCATCTCCTTTTTTTCTAGATTGAGAATGATAGGAATAGAAAATTTTTAGGTTATGATAAATGAATATCGAATTTTTAGTCTAATTAGAAAAGAGTTGCTTTGTAAAATCAATAACTAGTTCGAGGTCATAAAGACATTTTAGCATATTGGTTTGCTGGCACTATTAAGCGAGCATCGCTGAATCGACTATATATAGATAATGATGTATTTATTTGTCTGGAAGCTGATAACAACAAATATTGTTATCTATGGAAAGTAGTAGTTGACAACACACGTGAGGTTGGGTTGTGTTTTTTTTCTAAAATATGAATATCAGTTAGTTCCTAGAGTTTATTAATCGTTTTTTTTCGGATTGTATCATCACATAGTCAATGATAAGTTATGAATGTCTGTGTATATTATATGATTAATTCAACGATAGTTAATATTATTTGTCACCATGACAAAACATTATTCGAGGTCATCGATAAATATTTCTATATAAATTCAATTTCTTGTGAAGTCAAGTTGTATATCGAAAATTATAATTCAGAATAATAAAAGTTTATTAAATAGAAAAAAATGATTTTGTAGTATATAGTCCTTCGTATTTGGCAGTTTCGAGTGCTTTTTTTTAAAATATTCATTAATACAATATTTATTTTTACTTTTAGATAAAAATCCCAAACCTCATTCCAATGCCTACGTTATCTCTAAGTCCTTGTCTTATTGGTGTTTCAGGAGGACCATGTTCTGGTAAATACAGGCAAATATTTTTGAATTAATTACGAATATTTCTATAGGTAAATCAACAGTATGTCAAAAAATTGTCGAAGCATTACAATCAAAAGCTGGTATGGGTCAAGCAAATCGTGTTACTGTCATAGCAATGGAAAATTTTTATAAACCTAAAACAGCTGAACAACGTGATTTAGCTTTACATGGAAATTACAATCTTGATCATCCGAGTGCATTTGATGAACAACTTCTTTTTAATACTTTAAAAGATTTACTTAATGGTCAAACTGTCAAAGTAATAAAATAAAGTAGTGCTTTTTTTTTTAATCAATTCAGTATTTAGATTGCTCGTTATGATGCTGGTAAATATGAACATATTAAAGGGGTTTTTGATACGATTGAACCTGTACCAGTTATTATCGTTGAAGGAATTCTTGTTTTTTATTTTCCTGAAATTCGAGTAAGGATATTTGTTTTTATGAAAAAAAAGAAATTCATCGATGATTATTTTAGAATTTATTTCAAATGAAATTATTTGTCGATACAGATGCTGATACTCGTTTAGCTCGTCGTGTTCTACGTGATATGAAAGAACATGGAAGAAATTTAGAACATATTTTAGCTGGCTATATAAATCATGTTAAACCATCATTTGAAGATTTTTGTTTGCCAACAAAAAAATATGCTGATGTCATTATACCACGTGGTGCTGACAATCACGTTGCTGTGGATCTTATTATACAACATATCAGAGATTTTATTCAATATAAACCAGGCAAAACTGAAACCCAACAATCAATAGAATATAATTTACGATCCCGACCTCATTAGAATGCTTTCATTTCTTTTTTTTTATAAATTATATATGTATATTTATCTTTAAGTAGTAGTCAGATTAAGAATTATCTTTTTTTTTTCTTCCCTACGACAAGTTCAATATGTACAGTGCACAATGCAAACCGCTTTGTTTTTTATTATGCACCATTGTGTATTATGTAGTCGAAATAATGCAATTATTGAGAATTTCTTCTTTTTTATTTATAAATAATATAATCATAATATAGATATATTTGTCATTATTCGTATTTTTTTTAAAATTTATTCTTAATTAATAACAAATCGCAATGGTATTATGTTTTGAATTGTCGTATTTATATAGAATGCAGAGAACTTTTCTCATCAGAAATAAGACTAGAAACTCAACAATCATAAAAATACTAACTATGTTGAAGTAGATTAATCAGGATACGAATTGAAAAAATAATTTTAGATGAATGTTCAATCTTCATTGACTAAGAATTGGATATTATTACGTTATGCTGTTGAAATCAATCATTATTCTCCTTTATCAACTCCAAATTCCACATCTTCAAATGAACAACAACAGTTTGTATCGTTTTGTTAGATAGAGACGTATGATGAATACTTTCATATTTATCTATAGACCACAACGTCAGATAATTGATTGTTCTGAAGGACTTCTTTGTTTAAATTTAACAACAACTCAACAACTATATGTTATTCGTGATGAAACAGAAAAAATCGAATGTATAGATTTATTAACTACTGATTCATCTTCAATTATTGGTACATATACTGGTGATAGTCTATTAATGAGTTATGTTATTCCAAGTGATAATATTCAACGTAAATTTTTGGTTAAATTTGCTTCAACTGCTACACAAAATGCTCGTCAACATTGTGAAGATTGCGTAAAATTACTTTCAAACTCAATTACTATTACTCATTTTGATTCCATATCATTAACATCATCATCATCATCATCAATGACAAATCCAATTGAAAAATTAAACTCAATAGTATCGATTGATGATATGATAAAAGTATTGATGGGTGATAATTCAATACAATTATCAACATATTATAATCAAGAAATATCTTATGATGATTATCAAACAAAGGATTGTTTAGAAAAATATTTGTGTGATGAAACATTTCCAGATTTTGTAGCTAATGTTGCGGCAATACTTGATACGATGAAAGATAGTCAAAAATAAATTTTATTATGTTGTGTGTTTATATGTAAAGATTTGATTGATAATAAATAGTGAAATTAATAGGATATTCATGTTATTAAATGAACGATGAGTTCTAACAATTTTTTATTTTATTATTATGAATATGTATTAAAAAATGAACAAGAAAATCTTCAATCTATTCGGCAATTCAAATCATCCGACCAATCATCACTACCTACACATTTATTGCAAACAAATATTCCATTTGGATCTACTCTGTTTTTGATTGATTTTAATTTATTATAGTTTTCTATCGTACCAAAAAACTTTTGTTGCCAATATTTTTCATTTGGATCAGCTTCATTCATATATGCACCTGATTGTGAACCTCCTGCTATTGTTTGTAAAATGTTTCCTTTTTCTGTAACAAGTTTAGCAAGTATTTCTTGCTCTTCAGCAGTATGAAACAGACTTTCTACAAGTTACAAGAAGGGTGTGAGTGTGAGTGTGGGTATGGGTGATCGGTGTGAGTGTGTCATCTTCATTGAAACCCATACCCACACCCTGATCAACACCCTGACCAACACCCAGACCAAGACTCAAACGCACACCCACCGTCAAAATAGTTGTGCACGCCCTACAAAGTCACAAAATTACTACTGTAAAGCTCTTTTTTTCAGAGCAGTTTCATCACCATCACGATAGACTACAAAAATGCTAAGGAAATATTATCCTCGCAATATACATTAAATCTGAACACCAATATTTTTATTTAGTAGTTCTATTAAAATTACAATAAAACAAAAACTTTCTCTTAATCACCAGTATGTGTCCATTTTTCATCGGAATATATTTGATGCTAGTGACTACAGGTCTCTTTGTCTTTTATATTGCGTTCAACAAACTGATTAATTTCATCTAAAACATTGTCTCCGATTTGATTTCCAGCAAGAATCAGTGTGGTGAGTGTCTAGATGCAAAAATTACAGTTAAAGACATAGTATAGATATAGAAAGAATAAAAACTACTGTGTTTTGTCGTACTCCATCACTCAAATGTTGCACTCCTACATCGCTGATCTCATTCCATCCGATATTTAGTTTGGTGAGTGTCTAAATAAAAAAATTGCAGGTAAAAGCATGATATAGATGAAGACAAATGAGAACTACCGTATTCTGTCGTAATACATTAGTAAAATATTGTACTCCAACATCTCCCATCCGATTCAGTACAAGAACTAGTGTGATTAGTGTCTAAATGGAAAAGTGAAGATAAAGACAGAGTTAATTGAGAACTACCGTGTTGTGTCGTAATGCATCACTAATATGTTGTGCTCCAACATCTCCGATTTGATTACATCCAAGATTTAATGTGGTAAGTGTCTAAATGAAAAATGCAAGTAAGTGGAGGGTATAGGTGAAGACAAATGAGGATTACCGTGTTGTTCTTTAATGCATTACTCAAATATTGTGCTCCAATATGTCCAATTTGATTACCTCCGAGGTTTAGTGTAGTGAGTCTCTAAATAAGCGCAGGTAAAGACATAATATAGATGAAGGGAGAATTATAGTTACGGAGTTCTGTTGTAATGCATTACTAAGATGTTGTGTTCCAACATATCCGATTTCATTACTTCCGAGATTCAGTGTAGTGAGTGTCTGAATTAAAAGATATACATAAAGATATGATATAGCTGGGAGAAGTTGATAATTACTGTGTTGTGTCGTAATCCATCACTCAAATATTGTGCTCCAACATCTCTGATTTCATTTCGTGTAAGATCTAGTGTGGTGAGTGTCTAAATCAAAATATACAGATAAAAACATGATATAATTGCGAAAGGTTGACAAGTACTGTATTGTGTCGTAACCCATCACTCAGATGTAGTGCTCCTAGATCTCTGATTGCATTCCTTAAAAGACTCAGTGTGGTAAGTGTCTAAATGAAAACTTACAGATAAAGATATGATATAGATAAAGAAAAATGAGAATTACGGTGTTGTGTCGTAGTGCATCATTAAGATATTGTGCTCCAACATGTCCGATTTGATTACATCCAAGATTCAGTGTGGTGAGTGTCTAAATTACAAAATATAGATACAGACATGATATAGATGCAAGAAGTTGACAATTACTTTGTTGTGTTGTAATCCATCAGCCAAATATTGTGCTCCAACATCTCTGATTGCATTCCTTGCGAGACTCAGGGTGGTGAGCGTCTAAATAAAAAAGTGTAAGTAAAGACATGTTGTAGTTGACAAGATGTGAGAATTACGGTGTTGTATCGTAGTACATTGCTCAAATGTTGTGCCCCGATATCTCTAATTTCACTAGATTCGAGATCTAATGTAGTGAGTGTCTAAATGAAAAATAATTTGAAGGTCAATAGAAAAAAATTAAACTGTCATAATAGACAAATATTTACCTGATATCGATCATAACTATCTACGATGTTATTGAATCGTTGGCATACATTTCTCATTGAGCATAGAATTGTAAAATCCAATTGATGGTCCAAAATTCGATAGACAAGCTCTACTGGTAATGTAAGAAAAGTAGAGATATTTTGATTTGACATTGTGGACTGCTGTTGAAATGTGTGCTGCGTAGTTTTTTATATTTGTTATATATTGTGTTGTCATTTTTTCTTTTCGGTACATGATGCGACCTTGATGTTGTCATTAGTTTCACATCACGTTGCATTTGTAGAACGAAAAAAAAAGAACAAGAAGGACGTCGATTAAAAAATGACAGAATCAACAAAATAACTATACAGAGCCCTTCTTTTTAGTTTTATATTAGGAATATAAAATGATATATAATAGTCATGACTATTCCATTTCTATTTATAATTAATAAAGTTTAAATGATTTTCTTTTCTACTCATTTCATCGCAAAATCAAATGTTACTGCAATCTGATTTATCATTGAACAAGTTTGTCAATATTTTCTTTGACATATTTTACTAGATAAATATTTAATGAATAAAATTTGGCAAAAGTTAGATTTATTTTAAAAACTATATTTAGATTATGTACAAAAATTAAGTATTGATATATAAATAAGAGCAAACAAAATCTGACAGTTAAGTTTTTGATCATGTAAATGAGTAAGAAAATCGATCTGATATAAACATTTTGTAAAAATTATCAGTTATTACAAAAATGGACTATCAATATTTGTTCGAACAGGTTGAAGATATGTAACTGATTGTAATAAATTATTTGAATCTGAATTATATCTGACATAAAGTTGAAAAAGAAGACGATATAAAGTTCTTTGATTGCCTGCAAGAAGATCATTGATTCGACAATATTCTTCAATATCAATACCAACTAAAATAATTCGATTCGAAAAATATGAGTTTATTTTGATAAAAATTACCTTGATTCATAAGTTGAAAAGCTAATTGAAGATTAGCATGAGATTGTTCACGTGATATTGGTCTTTTATGATTATATTTACTAAGTATTAGAAAATAATTTTCTAGATGAGATATTAGATAAAGTAAATTTAATCCATCTTGAAAATATTGTATATCAATTTGTTTTATATAAATATTATAACGATTTAAATGACTGTTTATAAATTTCAATAAAGTTTTTTCGATGCTTGCTAATTTATCAGGTGCATGATCGAATAAAGAATCAATAAGATCACCCTGTTTTGAAGATCCTATCTAAAAGGAGGAAAAAATATTAGTTTAAATAATAGAATCTTTACTTACAGGCATTGATTGTCTATCATGATCATCGATGAAACATTCATTCGCAATTCTTGTTTGTAATATGCCATTCGTTTTTTTAACAATAATAACTTTTAAAAATAAATTTTTCGGTAAATCAGCAAATTTTTTATGATTAAAAAATTTCATTAATGCCAAAAGAAGATGTAAAATAGCGATAAAATCTCGATTATAAATTTGTTCAAATGTCCATTTAATAGTTTGATTTTGTTGATCAAAATGTATTTCAAGATAATTAAGAATACGTGTAAGTGTCTTCTTTTTCGATTCTTCCGATAAAGGTATACCATCATAGAGTAATCGAATATTTGGTTGATAATATTCAATAAGTTTGCCAAATATATATCCATCATAAAGATCATTTTCAAATGATCGAACAATAATTAAATCAGTACTTAAAGTTGTATTAAGCCAGTTATTTAAAATATTAATTGTTTGTTTAAAATCGGAATTATTATATGAATTTGGTTCGAGCATTGAGCGTTCATCACCTTCGTCTAATAAATAGGACTGAGGATCGATATTAAAAAGCGGATAGATCCCTTCATTTGTCTGTTGATGTTGTTGTTGTTGCGGGTGTTGTTGTTCATTAGATGATGAAAGATGAAGAGAACTCATACCTTCTTGTAAAACTTTGGTTACTTCATGACGTTTTTGTTGACGTCGTTTTAATGTATTCGAAATAAATGATAAGTTTTCAGTATTGGTAGACATTTTTATCTGAAAAACAATAGAATTTTGATTCTTTTTAATAATAATAAAAAAAGAAGATGTCAAAAAAAGAACTACACACTAAAAACCAAAATTTAAGTAATTGTCATGATGATAATAAATGCACATAGAAAAACTTGTAAAATGACTTTAAAGTCGACTAGTATATCAAAAACAAAAAACAAAAAAGTTCTTTTTAAAAATGAGTATAAATAGCACCAATGAGTACATTGAATACAGTTAATAACTGCAAAGGCAGTAAATTCACACACAAACACACAAAACAAACAGATTAATTGCAAACATGACTAAATAATACTTTGATACTTGTTTCACTTATGGATCAATAAATGATACCATAATATATCTTTTTCCTTTTATTACTGGTAAACCTTCATGTAAATGAGTTAAACGTCCAGGATGTATCAATGCCCAACCACGAATAGTTGATGCCATTGAACAATTATAACGAAGAAATCGACAACCACCACCCTTTTTTAAATATAATTTAATAATGAAAAACTGTCAAAAAATCACTTTATTTTTCTCTTACTTCATAATCTTTTCCAACATCATTCAAAGCTAAATTAATTGTATATGTTGATGCATCATGATGTGGTCGAAGTTTATATTGATATTCCGGCATATATCGAACAACGAAATTAAGTGCAGCTTTTGGAGGCTATATTTAATAAGAAACAGAAAGAATACTCTTGTAAAATATGACATCAAACAAACTTACATCACTATAATAACCAGTGTAAAGTTTTTGTTGAATTGGTTGAACAAATTCACGTAGAATAAATAACCAATGCTCATTAAAATCGACTTGTGTCATATGAATATCATCTGTAGGAACATTTTCATAACCACCAGATAAGCGGTGATCCTAAACAGATAAAATAAAGCAATAAGTTTTAGTTTAATATTCTTATAAGACATACATTATGAGCAGATCCAGACCATCCATTGAATTTTTCCATGAGTTCTACTAAATCGCGAGTAAATGCTTCAGTCACCATTGGAAACCAAAACACATCAGTACATGGCTAAAAAGAATATTTCAAAGAATCTTAGAGACAAAGTAATTAAAACTAAAGAGCACTCTTCTAAATCTAATCTTTCACTCAGAATAATGGTACTGTAACTTGAGTTAACAAATGGGTCTGTTTTTACTTACTTCTTGAAGTGTTGTATTTGGTTCAAGAGCTTTATAATAATCTGGATGAATATAACGCGCTTTCCAATCCTTTTCAAAACAAAATATTCAATAAATATATATAAGTTTTATATAAAAATTTACGTGGAGATTGCTAAAAACTTCATAAAGTTCAGGTATAATCAATGATGTGTTGAAATTATCTGGATCAATTAAATGTCCATATTTAATTTCATTAGTTAAATATATAAAATGGCCCTAAAAATAAATTCCTCTGTGATAAATAAATATATATCTAGTTTTTTTGTTCTTACATCATCTCGTAATGATTGACAAAATTTAAGATCAGGATCAGTTCTCATATCAATATATTGCGGTGTAAAACTTTTCAATAAACTTCCATTTATTAAATAACAATGTGCAATATGTGGAACATTAAATATACCTCTGAAATAAAACGAATGAGTATCTTATTTTTTTATATTAAATCAATTCTTATTTACGTTTTACTATTATTAATAATATCAAGATAATCCGATGATCGTTTATAAAATCCTTCATCTGTATAATCTCCCCAAAAATTACTCCATGTTTTTTCAGGTCGTAAAAGCATCGGAGAAATAACAGAACGATTAAGTGAAATTAATTTCATTAATGTATCAGAATTATCAAGTTGAACAATAGAATCAATTACAAATAGATAATCACATTTATTTTCTTGACATTCAGTACTATATAAAACAAATGAAAATATTCGAATTTATGGAAAATATATGAAACTTACATAGCTTGTTGACGAGCTTCACCTTCGGTTATATCATCATCATGATGGAAATATTTGACAAATTGATAATCATTTTCTTTGAATTTAGTCATATATTTTTCGGTGAGTTCTTTATGATATTCAACCTAGAAGAAAAAGAAAAGAATGACATGGTATGTAAAACACTCAATAATGCAAAAAGATGTCTTTAATAAACTAATACATATTCTTCGAAGGTATAAAAAATAGATGAGAAAAGTCATACAGTCAATAGGATATGTCTACGTTAATCATGATTATCGTCTACCGAGTACCATTCTGCTTTACTGTGCTCTGTACTTCTATTAGCAAATATATACAGACATGCATCTTGAGAGCGTGGGTATTGTGTCCATGCTTTATTTACACCCACACCTTGCAGCCCAATTCAATACTCTTGCCAATAGCAAAGTGACAGTTCCAGTTCGAAAGAACTGAATCTAAGCTTTCACAGCCCTGCTTGCCAAACATTTCGATCACGATGAACATCTCATGAGACTTTCTTTACTGGTGGGCTAGTAAAAAGTGAACTACATCACTTCTCTTCTTTCGTGTACATGCTTCTTTGTTAAATAAACGGTTGAATCTTTTTTTTTCTTACTTGATTATGAATAAAAACACCTAATCGATTCTTTGGATAAGTTAAATTTAATATTTTATCAAAATATTCTCGAAGAAATGGTGTTGGATATTCAATAAATATAGCAATATAAACCATTGGCCATTGTTGATGCTAAATAAATTACATTAAATAAAGAGAAAAATCACACAAACAAATCTCTAGTTACATCTGTAATTTGATTTAAATCTATTAGATTTTCTTTACATTGTAAACAACCTTTAGTCGGTGACCATACACGAGCAATATAATTACTCAAATAATTCAAACCTCTCTATAAACAAAAAAAACGATATAAAATATCGATTAAATCTCTTTTTACTTTTGCAGGTCCATTTCCATGAATAACAGTCGGAACTGAATCAGTCCATGAATTATGTACATAATTTTCGTCATTGAGAACCGGCAATTGTATTTCATCAATAGCACCATTTAAATTCATAAAAATATCAGCACGTTTATCAAGTACAATTGACCATTTTGTCTAAATAAAAATCATTAGAAAAAACAAATAACATAAAAAGAAAATTTCTTTTTACTCGACTAAATTCATCAAGAAAAATCTTTGTATAAAATAATTGATCATCGTCATCATCAGCAATTTTTTCTTTACTTGAAATCATTTCATATATATCCGATGCATAACCAATAAAACCACCTGAATTCAAGAAACGTTTTTCATTACTTTCAACTAATGGATAAGCATACTAACAAAACAAAAGAAATATTTAAAAATAAAAGATTAAATTCATTACTTGTAAATCTTTATCAGGCCAACAGAAATCTTCTGCACCGAAAACAATTCGAGCTGGTTTAAATGCTTGAAATTTATCCAAAATAAATTCCGGTACTTGAGTAAATATAACATCGTATGAATCCGAAAAAAGTATTATTTTAGTTTTATCATCTTTGTAACGAACTAAATTTTCTCGAAGAAGATTGATTTTTTGACCACCACCTGCTGAATGTTTCATATTACCACCTTTCCATTGTTGACCAAGCCCATAGATCTAAATAAAAAAGTGCAATCAAACTTTTGCTACTATATTTGATTATCAAGCTACATTGTTATGTAATAGATAAAATATTCGCAAACACAATCAATCTGTTATCTTTTACTGACAATTGTCGTATTAACCCTCGATTTTTAAATGAACTGTCATAAATACCTCATATTTATATCCATAAATATTTAATGAACGAATAAAACGTTGATAACCATCTGTTTCGTTTGTAGCGACCGAAACGACAAGTAAATCACCTAAATAATATATAATTTATAGAAAAAAAAAAGAAATTCAATCATCAATCAATTTACCTTTACTAATTGCATGAATAGAATTAGAAAAAATCACTAGTAATAGAATAATTATTTGTCCTAACATCATCAATAAATACACGAGCAGATTGTTCGGTTATTGAGATGAGATGTTGTGGCACCTGGAGAATTATCTATTCCAACTCATACTCATATCATCGCTACATTCCATGTAAAAATAACATTTTCTAATTATTAAATATAAATACGAAAAAATTCTTTTAATTTTATTTCAAAATAACGTAATGATATCTGAATAATTTTAATCACATCTCTGTCTAAATGCATAAATGCATTGATACTCAACCGAACAATCATTATAGAGAACACTATCTCGTTGTTAATCATTCATTGATCTATTCTCATTTGTCAAAAAAGAAAAGAACACTTTTACTTTCTATCCATGAGATTTATTGTTTTTTCAATTGTCTCTATTTGATTTTGTTTAATATAGAAAAATATGTCCGAGATAAATGAAACTTCCGGAGAACAATATCAACAACAACAATTAGATCAATTAAAACTTGAAACATCAGAAATGTCATTTGATACGATAAATGAAAAATTATGGACAGATCAAGGACTTCATCAAAATATTGTACAAAAACTTCGTTCATGTATTGAAAATGGTAAGAAAAAAAAACAACAAGAAAATAGATAATTGAATCTTTTGTAATTTCAATTTAGATAAATTAACTTCAAATGATATAGACAATCGTCTTTGCGAACAATTGCGTTCATTTCCAAATGATACAACAAGTATTGATTCACTATTTAGTGAATTTAATAATTCCGATTTAACTGGTGTTGTTAATAAAAGTGCTTTTCTATGTAATTTAATTAAACAATGGATAATACAAAATCCACAAGTACAAAAAACATCGTCTAATGATTCAGAAAGTGTTGGTGATAATTCAGAAAATAATTCTGGTAAACATAAACCAGGTCCTGATGAAGCGAAACTTAAAGTAAAACATTGTTTAGTTCTAGACAAAAATATTTTTTGTTTATATAGGAAATTCTTGATCGAACAGGATATAAAATCGAAGTAACTGCTGGTCAAAGAAAATATGGTGGTCCACCACCAGATGGTCCTGATGGACCAGCTCCAAATAGCGAAGTATGTTATAAACGTATATTTGTTTTTAAATAATGAATTATATTCTTAAAGGTTTTTATTGGTAAACTTCCGCGTGAAATATTTGAAGATGAACTCATTCCATTATGTGAAGAAGCTGGAAAAATTTGGGATTTACGTATAATGATTGATCCAACATCTGGTTTTAATAAAGGTTATTGTTTTGTTACATATTGTTCTCAACCAGATTCAGTTAAAGCCTGTGAACGCGTATGTTAATCATTTAAATAAATTTTTTTTTATAAATTCCGCATCATATTATTAGCTTAATGGTTATGCTATTCGTCCCGGAAAACTTCTTAAAGCAAATGGTAGTGTTGCTAATGTTCGTATATTTATCGGTAATATACCAAAGACAAAATCTAAAGAAGAAATTCAAGATGAATTAACAAAAGTAGTTGGTAAGTTATTTCGAGAAATTTTTGTATATGATTTAATAGGAAATTTTAGAGGGTGTAACAAATGTTATTGTTTATACACCGGCTGATGAAGCTGATAAGAAAAAAAATCGTGGATTTTGTTTTGTGGATTTTGATACACATAAAAATGCATCTGCAGCAAGAAGAAAATTAGCAAATGGCCGTGTTCGAGTATGATCAAGTTTTTTGTTTTAATAAAATTCTAAAATATTAATTTTTTAGGTTTTTAATCGTGATATTGCAGTTGATTGGGCTGATCCAGATGAAGAACCTAATGATGATGTAATGTCACAAGTTAAAGTTTTATATGTTCGAAATATAACATCAGATGTATCGGAAGATGATGTTAAAGATTTATTTTTACCCTATGGAAACATTGAACGTGTTCGAAAAGTTCGAGTAAGCTTTTTTTTCGTATATTTAGAACAGAACATAAAACTCGAGATTTATTAATAGGATTATGCATTTGTTCATTTCGATAAACGAGAAGATGCATTGAATGCTATGCGTGCACTCAACGGAAAAGTATGAATAGACAAAAATTAAATTATTTAACTTAGTTATAACTTGTTTAGAATCTTGGTCGTAATGCAATGGAAATTAGTTTAGCTAAACCATTAAATGATAAACGTAAACAAGCCCAATCAAAACGTGAACATGGAAAACCATTTGATGCACCCTTTCATTCTCGACCTGGTCCAGATAATAATTTACGAGGAAGAAACTATAATGGACCATCAATGGGTGGTTTTGGAAATAATTCGTCACGTGGTAATAACCCAATGATGAACGATCCATTTAGTTAGTAATATTCAAATAATAGTTTGTGATATGTTAATTTCATTTTTTAGATGGTCCTGATTTCGGAGCATTTGGTGGAGATCGTTCAATGAATAATAGTCCCTCACGAGGAGGTTCATCTAATCGTGGTAATCGTGGCGGTGTACGTAATAAAAATAAAACGAATAATTTCTTTATAAATAAGGTTATTTTTTTTTAGCGAGGTGGATTTTCAGGTAATCGAGGTGGTAATTTTAATTCTAGTAATCGAGGAGGAAATGGTAATTTTAATCAAAATAATCGTGGTGGTTTTAATAATAATTATCATGGAGGTTATGGCGGACAACCACCACAAAATGTAAGAAAATATAGAAAAATATTTTATTCTTTTTTTCAATTTTTCTATTTAAAGAATAATATGGGCAGCTTTAATAATAAACCAAATAATTCAGTTGATTTTGGCGCATTTAATGGTCCATCACAAAATAATAACAATTCTCAATTTAACCGAATGGGTATTAATAATTATGTTGGTAATTCAATGCAACAATATGGAAGTATGAAACGATCTCCTAATCAAATGAGTGATAATAATATGTCGAAACGACCACGTTCTAATAATACTGGAGGATCATGGGGATCGATGAGTGGTGATAATTCAAACTATGGTTCTCAACAACAGCAACAACAGCAAAATAATAGTGGCAATTGGTATCAAGATCAAGGTTACAATAATTCCCAGCAACAATCTAATTATAGTTGGAATTAAGATTTGTTTTATAAATTAATTCAATGTGTGTGAGAGGTGAACTTTTAAAACCGACAGTGGGCGAAAAGAAAAAACCATAATCTATGTATATAACTACTCTCATTTCTCATTCGAAAAAAACTTGGACACAATCTCAAAAAAAAAATTTTATCTTTTTGTTTTCTCATAAATAATATTCTACGTCATTATAACGAAATTTCGGAAAGAAACAAATTTAGTATTTATATAGTAAAATAAAGAAAAAAAACAAATAAAACTTTTTTTCAATTAAATAATTCATCCTACATTTTGTTTTGTATCTTTGTCATTATTTCTCTGTTTTGTATGTTTTTGCTGTTACAACCGAAAAAAAAAAGATTGTCTATTGTCGATACAATTTTCATTTGTTTTTCAAATTCTAGTTTATGTAATTCTTTTTCTCATCTCAATATGAATATACACAAGAAAAAAAAGAACGAAAAACTTTTTAATTTTTGCGACATAGAGATAGAGAAATAATTATTTATTTCAACGAAACTATTTGGGATATATTTATCGAAATGCAAGGATAAGAATTTTCTATAATGGGTAAGAACCAATAGTTACTCGTTTGAGATAGATTTATTTAAAAGAAATTTTGAAAAGACTGAATTTTCTGTATTTATTTTAGGAAATGGTTTACTGTACTGATGAAAAATAGTACAAAATACATCAGATAAAAGTATGAAATTGTTTGTTTAATAATTAAAATATTTATTCATTTTATCGTAGGTGATAGTAAATGTATATTAAACAATTTATCAACTGCATTAGACTTCTTTCATTTAATACAACGCAATCAATTAGATATTTTTATATTTTAAATCATCATGTATAGAAAAAGAATAAATATTGAACAATTTTTTTATTAATCGTAAAAGAAAAAAAGAAAATTCGGTTTATAAAATTATTTATGAATCCATGGTATTGTTTACATAGATTAAATTTGATATAACAGTAGAATTATTCATTGGTGGTGGTGTCGATGATTTGAGAAAATTCAACCATTTATAATATATATCCATATCCGTTGGTTTAACTGAAAACATACAAAAAACCTATAATGAATATAATGCAAAAATAATGAACTTACCTTGTGTTTCACTGCTATCTATTTTAGTTACATTGAAAGATGGTAAATGAAATGGAACAGTATCTTTAGTATCTAAGAGTGTAGCATTCATAGCTGAAATTAAAAAGTATAAATATTAAAAAAAACGAAAAATCAATTGTATTACTTGGTAATTTATCTAATGTATCGAAATCATCAGTGATGTTCATAATAGCACATTGAACATAACAAATACCAATGATTACACATAATAAAGTTGCTCTAATAATGGCATTAAAATATATCTACATTCGAATAAATCAATAACTTACTTAAACATGATTGAATTGCTTTAGTTTAAAATGACTTATATTTTGTAACTGACTGAAGTTAACTGTAATAGATAGAATGATGAATGTTCGATTTTTAAATAGATAATTCTACTGACGAAGAGAATACTTCATTCATATTATGACGTCCGTTGTTATACATATATCTGCTTTATTCAAACGGACGAAAAGAAATGATGTCAACGTATCAAAATGAATCGATACAATCAAATTGATTCTAAATGTCTATAATAATTATTTTCTTGTAAATGTTTTTTTTTCAATAGTAATTTTATTTACATTCCAACATAGAATTATTTTATAAAACATGTAGAGAGTCTACACTTTGTTTAATAAACAAAGAATCGTTTTCATTATCATCAAAGTTATAATATATATTGTTCGAATAAATCTTATTTAAGATTGTCATGAATGTAGAGCATTGTCAGGCATCACGTTTTCGTTTGATTAATATACTTGAATGCATGCATTGCACGCTTTGATATTTTCTCGAATGATGATTCAATAAAAATAATTTGTGAGGGAAATTATTGAGTTGCTTTTGTTATAATATAACTAACGAAAAACTGAATGTTACATATGAAAATTTATTCGATTTTAAGCAACAGATTTTCCTACACTATTGTAAATATTAAAATGTGAAATTTATTGTAATAAATATTTGATTTAATTAATAATTATATAGACGATTGTAATCTAATATAGTTTTAAGTTCAAAGACACAAATGGTAAATATATGAAGAACAATTTCGAGGTAGTTATAATATATCAGAATTCGTTTTACTTCATGATCGGTTAACTATTGTTATAGTCATAAAAATAAAGTACTTTTTCCTTTTTTATTAATCATCGAGGTACATAGTTGAATAAAAAGTGCTTTTTTAATAAAAAAAATATATCAATTTAATGGAAAATATAGCCTAAAAGCAATCGAACAACTGATTAGTACTAACGCATATAACAAATCATTGACATGGTAGCTAAATTCCTTTTAGCAATTTTCATATCAGTATTCTTATAGATATTTTCAATTATATTATTTTTTAACAATACTTTACCATCATCAGTTGAATTGTATTTGAAATTGAGTATAACTCTTATTTGTTTCCGTTCAGTATTTAATATGACAACACGTCCTTTATAATAAGGTAATACAATCATATTTTACTCTTTAAAAAAAACTCTTACTAAAAACAGAAATATAAGCATGATAAACAATTTCCTTCCTTTCATTGAATCTATTAAAAAATTAGCTATATAATATCATTTATTATGTCAGACTTGTCGAAGTTTATTATCCACCAATGCGTACGTTTTTTTCCTTGGTATTTTCATAACATGTATTCTAACAATTTTCTTTTCCATTTAAAAAGGTTTTATTTATGTTTTATTAGTGTAATATATACTGAACAAATCAAACATGCCTGTTGGCAGATGACTGCTGTTCTCTATTCACACATACATCTATATATGAAAGTACGTCGATAGAAGACGAGGGGGAAATTGAGAACTATTGTCATTGATGAAGAAAAAAAGTTTGCAAAAAAGTAGTAGGGAAAAAGAGAAAATTATAGAAGAGCTATATTTTTCTTGATGTCATTAGGTGAATGTCATAGATCTTAAATACAACTACTTATATATACATTATCGATTGATTATTAGATAAAACATGGTGAATTCGAAAAAACGTGATATATTAGAACGTTATCGTGCGTTATTGGAGAATAATATTGTTTTAACAGATAATTTACTTGGATGGTTAAATGATAGAAGAGTTCTTCCTGAATTTGTATTTGATGATATTAGAGTATGTCTTGTTTTCTAATGAAATTATTTATTATATAATTATATATGTAGGTTATATCATCGCCAGCTGAAAGAAATAAAAAATTTCTAACAAGTATTATGGAAAATGGAGATACAGCTTATACAAAATTAGCTGAAGGTTTAATTGCAAATGGACAACCATTTTTAGGTGAATTTCTCGAAACTGAAGGTAAATATACAATACACTTCAGTCTAATATTTGTCTTCGATCGTTCACAACTAAACTAACAATAAGAAATTGTTTTCTTTAAATCAATAGATTTTTATTATCGTTTAGATAAAAAAGTTTCGGATTCATCTGATGAAGCGTCTGGCCGAATAGTTATTGGTGATGAAATTCTTAAAAAATGTCCAGGTATTGATAAATTAAGTTCGAATACACGAGATAAATTAAAAACATATCTTCAAGAACAAGTAATAAATAATTAAAAGGAAAACAACAACATATTTTTTATTAATTTAACCATTTAGTTATTAAAAGCTCATTTAAATGAAACATGGCAAAGTCAAGGTCAAGGCAAATCAGTTGAGTTGATTAATCTTAAAAGACAACATTATGAAACTCGACAACAATTAGTTGAAACTGTCGAAGAGTGAGTTATGAAAAATATTATTTATACGGATCTACTTCTTCATTTTAGAGAAAAACGTGTTGTTAACAATTTAAAAGAATCACTTCGACATGAACAATTTGTTCGACAACAAAAGGTATACTTTTAAAATTCAACTAAAACATTTATATTGATTTTTAGGAAGAAGAAGTAAAAGAATTACGAAATGAATTAGGAAAAATTCAATCAGATCATGATCAAAAATGGTCAAGTCAACTTAAAATGGTAGATCTTTTCGAATTCCGAAAAATAAATCTAATCTTTTTTTTGCTAGACCGATGCAAATACCAGAAGTATATTTAAAATGAATGATAAAATGACCGTACTAAACGATTGGTTTCGTTCTATTGGTAAATAATAATAATAGGAAAAAAAATTAATAATAAATTTTGTATATTAAAGATGATATTTTAAAACTAAGTATATCACAAACACAAACTGGTGTAGAATTTGATTCAGCAGAACAACTACAAACTAAACTTAAACGATATGCAACAGAAATTGAAATTCTTCGAAGTGCAGGCATTGGTAAAATAGAAAAAAAACGAGGTTTTATTTATAAATATTTTTATTTTACTAAGGTACGGAAAAAATGAAAGAAGAAATTTATGAATCACTTTATACAAGTCGATATTTACCAATTACGGATCGAAAAAATCAACCATTTCATGATTTATTAGTACGTTTTTATGGTGCAAATCAAGTTAATGAATTATCAGCAATATGTACAAAAGATGTTTTACAAGTGAAATTAGAACGTGATCAAGCGAATGATATTCGATTACGCGATATTAAAATTGATGAACTTAATCGTCTTAATCGAGATTTACAAACTGAAATTGATCGTCTTAAAACAAAACCAGCACCAGCAGCACCACCATCACCACCTGCCGAACAGCCAACTATTAAACCTAATAAACCAGTATGGCGTCCAACACCTATTTCAAAAGCAGTACCACATCGTGAAAAACTTCAAGCTCGTCAAACATTAAAACCAATATCTGTTCAATTTAATGGAAAACCTCCTACATAAATAACCAATGTAACATTTGTGCAAAACACAAAAATAATTTTTCGATATTTTCTTTTCTTTCAAATATATATATATATATATATGTATTTATTTATCGCATCTTTATTTGATAATTAACAAAGTCAACTCGGCGAATTTTTGATCATGTTTCTTTTTTTTCTTCTTCTTCTTCTTCTTCTATATATCATATTTGCTTTTTATGCGGAAAGAAGATCTTCCTCTTCGTTTCAACCTACTAATAGTATGAACGACATTGTTAGATCCTTCGATCGGAACGTTATTGGATGAAGACGAGAGTGTATACAAATAAAATATTTAATACTAAACAAGTGTATCCTCGTTCGTTATTATAATCGTTCTATAATTGATGATTTTTTCCTTGTTTGCATATACAATTGATGAACTTCGCTCTCACGTTTGAACACGGTTGATCATGTTTCACACATATTGTCCTTTTGATTAGTAATATGCATATGAGTCAAAGTAAACTCGTTATATTCTATCAAAAAATAAAGAGAGAAAAAAAAAATATTTTGTAGAAGAAAATCATTGAGAAAAAAGAACAAATAAGTGGGCAGAGAGAACGAGAGAGAATTTTTTGAGGCGTATTATTTATTAGGAAAATTGTTGGAGAATATTAATAATTGTACTACTTCGTGTTATTGAACAATAAAAGAGCAGACAACGCACGAGAAATTCTTACGCATTCTACTACATACAATAACTATTAGGTAATACACGTTTCCGAAAAAAAAAATAGTTTTCTTAGTATAAAAAGATATATGCGTATCATTGTTTAATACTGTTGTTATTTATATCTATATAATTACATATTTGCATTTTTGTTTTGCTAAGTAATACTATTTGCATTGATTTAATTTTGTGATCTTTTTTCGACAATAAGTATATAAAATCGAATGATGTTTACAAATATTCATATTGATCATTCTTTATTTTTTTCTAGATACATCTCCCATATAGAAAATAACGATCATGAACACTACTATTTTTATCGCCGGTATTCTTAGCTGCTTTTTACTTATGGTAAAACAAAAAATTGTTTTTTAATATTTATTAGATTGTTTTCATGCGTATTAATATATATATATATACTTGATTTATTTTAGTTAAGTGTTGCTCATTCATTTGCATTATCAGGCAAAGAAAATAATAATGACGATCATCTTCTCGTTCATCGACCATATGCAATTTCACCAAATAAATATACGTCAATCTATCAAGATGAAGGTTCAATGGTAGATAATTCCGATGAAGATGATGATCATGAGCTTGAAAAACGTCGTTTTAATGCTTGGGCTGGTAAACGAAATATAATAAGCAAACGACGTTTTAATGCATGGGCCGGTCGACGATAAATATCTTTCTTTTTATTTGTCTCTTATTTCTCTAACCTTTTTTTGACCAATAAATTGAAATGATTTAAAAATATATATAAAACTCGTTTTAGTACAATTGCGCGAAACGTGTTCATTTGTCATTTATTCCATTCTCTAACTCACGTTTTCATTATAAGCATGACAACAATTTCCCCTTCTTTATCAAATAAAACTAAAGAATTACACAAGCGATTAATGATTTTAGAAAAATTTATTGAACTGAAATCAAATGAATGTGCTTATTATCGAACTAAAGTTCATCTCATGCAAATGAGTTCATTTAATTCTCAAACAATAAAAAAAACTTCAAGTGAAAATATTAGTCATAGTTCTAAACATCGAACAAATTCTGTACCATCATCTTTACAAAGAAAAAAAGTAAGAAAATCGATTAATTATTGATAACAACGAAAAGAAAATATTTTATTATAGAATTTCAATAGTTCACGTGTGAAAGAAAGGAAAACTATTGCACATAATCAAAACTATTTTGAAGATGATTCTTCTCCTCCTAATGAAAAACAATCTTCAATCATAAATAATAAAAAATCCACAAAAGATAAAGATCTTCTCAACCAAATCCTTATGCCATACATCAATAAATATTTTCAACAAGTGTAAACAAAAATATATATATATATGTACTTTCTAGTTGTTCAATTAATAATTATTTCTAGTGATGTTCATAACAAGATTATTCAATGTAATGAAAAAGATTTCTATCCAATAGAAACATTATCATTATCAAAATCTGCACATACTCAATTAATAATTGAATTACCACGACGTTTTGTTAAATCTCTTATAAAACAACAAAAAACATCAGTTACACCGAAATTAAAAGTTCATATATCTTCTCAATTGTTATATAAATTAATTCAATCGATGGATAAGAAAAATCATCATCATAAAATAGATAAATTTACAATACAATCACAATTTGGTACAATATCAGCTTGTATTAATCATGAAGATATACAAAAGTCTGATATTGTTCATGCTAAAGCTGAAATTAAGAATCATCAATTACCAACAATACGACATATAGCTCAAACGGATAGGAAGAAAAATATTCATTCAATCTCTCCTAAACATCGGCATTTTCGAGCAAAAAAAAGACATTTGCATAAATTAAATAGTATCTCTCATGAGGAAATCTATTCGAAAAAAAGTTCATTAACAAATGTAACACAATCAATAAATACATTATCATCATCATCTGATTAAACAAATATTATTTATGCATACAAACATATCTATGTCAAATTTTATTTAACTAAATAAGAAAAAAGAAAGACCCGATCGTTTACAAGATCAATCATAGACTTCATCACCATATTGATTTTTTCGTGCATTCGATCGTTTAGAAGTTATAGGACGAGTTGCTACTTGTTCATTAGATATTATTGGTAAGGGGGCTAATTGTCTATTATCTTGTATTGGTGTTGGCGGCATGGGATTATTAGTTGGAGGTTTTGTTCCAGGAAATTTCGTTGCATGTTCAGCTCGATTTCTTTGACGTAATTCATCATAAGTTACATATCGCGAAGAAGTATTTTTATCAATTGGATCTAAAAAATGTTTATTTTTTCTAAAAAAATCAATTATGTTCAAAAAATTTAACCTCGAGGTACAAGATCATCATGTTGTTCTTCTTCATTACGAGTACCAAAGATATTATTTGCTGTAGTTTTTGAAACAATTTCAGGTGGTTGTGCCCTAAATAAATTAAATATAATTGAGATACGAAAAATCCAATAAATATACATACATATCTGATATCATATCATAAGGTTTTGATTCAAATGAATGGGCAAGATTTGAATTAGGTAATCGTTCAAGTATCAATCTTCGACATTCTGGGATATATGATACTTTACCTAATACGTATGCTATAATAAAAAAGGAGATAATCTATCTGTTACTAAATCATTGCATTATGTTTACCTGCAAAGCTTGTCCCAGCCAATTTGAATCCATAAAGTTTAGGTGGTATGAAATCTAAATAAAACATTAAAGATATTTTCTGTATAAAATGATATTAAAACATACTATTTAAACGAAGATATGTCAGAAGACCTGTTGTAATTGCCATCAATGGTACCGCTATTAAGAAGAAATTAATATAATAAAAATAAAAATCAATAACTCACAGCGATACCAAAAGCTCGATTTTCGACATTCATCCATCAAAGCACTTTCTTCTTTCGTTAAACGAAACTACATATATAACAAATATTAGAATACCGAAATGAAAATAATTCACAAAACCAACCTGAGTATTCGTATTCGCCATATTCACAGTAAAAAGAAATAGAAAATCTAAGCATAATCAATGAAAATGTCTTTTATCTTTTATTATTATAATTAATAATTAATTTAAAATCTGTCTTTTTTTTTTTTGTTCGTTTGTCTATATCGTTGATTTACTTTTTTTTGGTTTGAAGATTACAAGAAGAAAAGGTAACACCATTAAGTACAATGTATAGAAAGCAAAAAGAAATAACAAACAAACAAACAAACATCAAGGCACAATTACTGCGAAACAAAAAGAAAAGAAAAGGAGGAAAAAATGATTAATTCTATAGTTAAACATAATGCTGATCGACGAATTTTGAACTTATCAACAGTGACAAGTACATTCTACTAATATTAATAAAAAAAAACAAAAGAAAGATTTTTATACAAAGACAAAAAATAACTTGTCACTATAGCCATAAAGAGTAAGAATATAAATGCATAGGTCACCGTTGCTTAAGAAGATCAGAAGAAAAAAAACAAAAATTGTGCATGCAAGACAGATTACAGATCAAAGAAAAAAAAAACAATCAATAGCATCCTTCATTCCACGATGATATTGGTTCAGATATTTGAGGAGAAATTTTTGATACTTGTGTTCGAATAGTTCTAGTGACCATCATATTATTCGTAGATTGAGAAGAAGGAATTTGCTTTGTTGATGATGATGTAGGTCTAATAAAATAAAATATATTAAATTTTATAAAAAAAAATAAAAGGAAAATAAAAAGCCGTGCAATAAAGCATGCAGTTAAAGTATATTATGTTAGTCTTTCTACTGTTATACTCATGCCTATTTAAAATCCATTCATCGTTGTACGTCGTGAAGAAAGTGAATGATGACTGAAAACATGTTTAACAAATCACTATTATATATACGTGAAATCAATAAATAGACAAGCTAACTATCGAAAGGTATGCATCATTCAAACTTTAAAGAATTGATATCTAATAAAAGACAAAAACTACTAATAACTTACCGCTGTACAGTTGCAGTCGAAGGTTTTAGTGGTTTTCCAACTGTTGGTATTCCACTTTTTCTTCCTTGACTTAATGATGATGAACTACGTGTAACAGTTGCTTGTCTATTTGTTGGTAAATTAACTGATGATGATGGTAGAATCTGTTCAACAGATGAATATGTAGACGATGATTGTGGTATTATTGTACGTCGTTGTGGTCCCAATTGAGATCGTAGTGGTGCTGTTAATGGTTTATTACTTACATCATTAAGTAAACCATTTTCATTTGGTGGAAATGCTTTTGTTGTATATGTTGAACTAAAATCAGTAATTGGTTTTCTACCATTTCTTTGAACAGATGTTGATGCGTTTTGAACTTTAACATTATTTATATAAGATGTTTGTGAACCACGATATGCTTGAATTGGTCGAGCTATTGGTGGACGTGTACGATTATTATTAGCTGAATTTGGTGGTAAAACACTAGCACGTGCTGATAATAATTTGGGTTCAGTAATAACTGGGACATCATATTCATTAGATTTATTCGTTGTAATTGTTTGTGTATTCGATCGAGAATATTGACTTAATTTAACACCATTTCTATATATATATATAAAGTACATCTATGTAATATAAGATCGGTAAGAAACAAAATAATACAAACTTTGTTATTGTAGGTTTTGGTGCAACCGGTGGTTTAGTTCCTGTTCGATCTAATAGAAAAAAAATGATAATGATGATCATTTTTATTAATAAAAGAATAGAGTAATTATTATTGTGGGTAGACAATATTTACATAATGATCAAACTCACACGAATATACACATATAGTCAAAAGCAAAAGCATAGAGAATGACAATTAGAACATTCAATTGAAAATAAATTATACTTGACCTGTATGACCGATTTGTTTTGTTTAACAATAATTATGAAATAAGGTATAACTTGAAAAACAAAAAATTGATAAAAACGGATAACTTTAAAATCATATTTTTCTTTGCTTTTTTGTTCTTTTCACATAAAAAAAATATTTCTTTTTTCTCCTTCTGCTTTTCTCTCTTTTTTTCTCTCGTCATTTATACCTTTCTATAACGTATTAGTATGACGATTATTATTAAGTATTCCTGACGTATATTTATTTCTTATTGATTTATTTTCTTCAAATATGAATAAACAAAATACAAAGCTTGATTCAAAATACATAAAGAAAATACTAAAACGTATGTTTTACCAAAATTCTGATCATCATTAAAACGAAATATTTCATTTTAGCTAATTATTATTATCATCAAAAACAAAAATCTTCTTATGATTCAAGAAGAAGATCTTCTTCAAATTTTCGAACAGATAAATGTTCATATGCTTATGATAATTTAGCTTATGGTTTGTCTACTGACGTTAAACATACAAATGAAAGTTTAAGATAAAAATGAATACTATACAGAATATTCGAGTTGTCAATGAATGTATTTTTAAAAGTGACTAACTTTTACTGTTTTTTTCTCTCATGAAATCATATGACTTTTTCTTTTGTTAAATAAATATTAAATAAAACTTACTTGAGATAGATACACTTGTACCACTGCCTGTTGATGCAAGAGAAACATTAGAACCGCCTACAAATATATGTATATAAAACAATAGCCATTAAATTTTTAGAGTAAACAAGAAAATATGTAGTCAAGGAGTTTTAGTGAAGCATTAATATGCAAAAGGAGTGAATGGCGCGACAACGAATAGGTAGATTAATGTGTCATAATGAACCTGAGATAGATTGTCGGTATTAGATAACACGAAGGATATGCAAGATATTTCCAAAGCAGTAGAGATACATTCATGCTTATGATTATGATCATACAAAAGTAAATACCATTGATAATGACTGATTGATTTTGATGAATAAATCTGTACTCAATAAACTATGCATAGTATAACAATTCCTTTTTTCACTGAATTAAAGAGAAATTTTTTAGAATAGATAGAATGAATAATATGTATCGAAATAAAATGATAAACTAACATACCAAAACGTTTAGATAATGGACCTTGTTGTTCTGCCTGACGTAAATCTAATTATAAAATAAGAATATAGTTAGTATTGTCAATGTAAAATAGTACTTACTTTCCAGTTGTAATTTAGCCATAACTAAAAATTAAATAAAAAATGATTTTATTTGCTAAGCAGAAGGAAGACATAAAATTCCAACGTTACCTTCAAGATCTGTATAATCCATTGGTGGTTCTTTTTCTCGTTCTCTTGAAACTTCTCTTGATTTTACAGTATGATTATTTTCACTTGCATTTGCAATTGTTATAACAGGTTGGAGTGGTGATAAATTAACAGATAATGTTGGTCGTGGATTCATATTTAATATACGTATTGGTGAACTTAATCGACCAGTTTTAACGGGTTCTGTAAATAAAAAATAGAAATAGAAATATGAAAGCCAAGAACATGCTTGCCAAAACTCATTCTTTATTTTCAAACCGTGCTCATCATATCATGCTAGACATCTTACGACTACTATTTTATTTCGAGTCGATTACTGTTTAACGTTTTTTTAATCATAATTATATATTTGATTTAGATTTAATAAAAATCAATTCTACCTGAAGTAACTTGTTGTTCAGTTGAACTTTTTTTTACAGCATCCAATCTTTGACTATCAGCAAAATTATGACATGATACACTTCTTATTGTTCGTGCTTAAAGAAAGAAAAATAAAAAAATTTTTATTGATGAAAATTTCATTCTCGTTACCATGCGACATATCATCAAGTTTACAAAGAAGACGATGTTTACTGGCATTAATATCATTTGTTTTAAATTCTTTATGTACCCAAGAAAATATATTATCAGTTGTTTGACCATTATTTTGTCCATCTTTTGGTACTTCAAATAACCTAAATAACAAAACGTTGGATTTTTAAAAATAAAAAAATTATATTTACCAAACATCATCGGGTTCATTTTGTTCATCAATTAAAGCAACAGTTTCGATTTTATCAAGTGGTGTACCATCTACTGATGCATCGAATTGTGATTTACGTGAACGTCGTTTTCTTTGTGCAGTTGAATCTTTTCGTTCAAGTTTCAAATTATTTATCATAGATGAATCTGATTGAAGAATGTTTGAAGTATTAATTATCATTGTATCATCTTGACCACCTGTTGAACAGAAACTTTCAGTCATTGATTCACACATGCCAATACCATCGAGAAGAAGACTTGCTCGACGATTACCACCTGAATCAGATATTCCCGATGTTGAAAGACCAGGAAAATGTAATGCATTTATAGCCGAACTTGTCAGAAGTGTACCAGAATCAAAAGATATACTTCTTGTTGAATCAATTAATGATGCAAGATATTGATCGGTCATTATAACAATTAACTCAACTAAACGATATTCTTTTTGTCTAGTTCTCTAGTTTAAAATAATATACATAGATATAGATATTATAAATCAGACGACCAATAGAGATATTTCTAAGTATTCAGTGACATCTATTCGTAATGAAATGGTGGTAATCGAATTTATATCAAAACGTTCAATATTTCAATAGATTGATAAATTTATTATTAAAAATTGTTGATTTTTAAAAGAACTATTTAGCAAAATTTCTATTTGTCAAATAAATGCGTCACATGGAAAGTTTCTTTGAGTCAAGCCAAGTGAAGTTTTCTATATTTTTGTTCTATATATTTCAACTGTTATATTATTTTTTTTGTACCAGATGTTTGCTTTACTGTGCACGAAATATTATCTATGTAACACTAGAATGACTTCTGAAGCAATATTTTATTGTATACAACTCTGTAGTTTTTAAAGTACTGATTTATAAACTGATAATGTTTTATCAAAACTACACAATACAAGCATACGCTATATATTCATTCATCCTCATCAGTCGCCTAAATTATAGAACAATACATTTATGTTCATTATATTTTTCTCTCCTATCCTATATCTATCTTTCAGGATTGTATTTACTGATTTTGACATTCTCGAAATAATATAAGTCAGATTTAATAATTCAAATCTATTTGTCTATTTAGTACCGAACATCATAACAAAGTAAATACGATGTATCCGGATTTACCATCCAACTCATATAATACAGATTCGGATAAATATACGAACTGCTCAACATCATCTGCTATTATATTTGAAGATATTAAACTAGATGAGCATGATAGTATTTCGCCAAATCAATACAGCACGTCGACTCAATCAAAAATATTGACACCTAATACTTCTCAACGACGACAACAACAACGAAATTTCGAAAAACAAATATCTAATACAGACCATCAGCAAAATCCATCAGATACAAAATCAAATGGTGTTTTTTTATTACTCGATGCTGATGAACATCTCACTGTAAACTCACTTTTCTATTCTTATTATTTCATCTTCTTCTTCTCTTACAGGTTAACAATAAAGAAGATTTTATTTCACAATTACAATCACCTTCACCAGATCCACTTGTCAAATGTGTTTCTATTATTGGAAATACTGGGGATGGAAAATCATATACATTAAATCAAGTGTTTTTTAATGGGGAAGAAAAATTCAACACGTCATCAACATCAGATTCATGTACAATGGGTGTATGGTCGGCATTAGATGAAAATCATCGAACACTTGTTCTCGATACTGAAGGTCGACTTGGTCTATCACAAAACGATAATATTCGTAATCGATTGTTACTCAAAATCTTGTGCATCAGTGATATTGTTATATTTCGAACACGAGCAGCCAAATTACCTAATGATATGTTTCAGTTTTTATCTGATGCATCAAATGCATTT